AGCATTTCATCAGGCTTCCTTGAAAATTTGCTTATACTCATTTATACTCATGGGTGGAGAGAGGCACTGCCTAAGAACACAACACATTGACTCATCAAGGTGTCAAATGGAGACCTCTCCACCTGGAGTCCAGTGCACTGACCACTGGGCAACTGCACCTTCTACTGTTTATAGGTAGGCTTACATTCATTTATCTATCAAAGAACCTGGTTTTGGAAACTTTCAGAGGAAAATAGTTAAATTCTTTTGACAAAAGGAAGAGGTGATATGCAAATGAAAAGTTCCCTTTTCTTAGCCTTTGTTTAGTGCACTATGTTTGTTTTATATGATAATTTTTTTTTTGTAAGACAACATGCTAGTGAGTGGAGACCATGTTTCCTGGCATCTCCCATTAGACCAGACACCTTCTGCTGCTGGTCAATATAACTGTAATCCATCCCACATACAACACATGCTGATGGTAGATGATCCTCGTGTACCAGTTATTACAGGTCCCTTGGGATCAATTCGTTTCATTCAGGTAATGTAAAGCACTCTAGCAATAATTTTAATTTGTTTTTGTTTCTCAGTCTTTATTGAATGGAATCAAATTATAAACTAGTAACTGCACTTACCAACAACAGGTAGTTGGGATTTGTATAGAAGAACTGCAAGCAGCACAACATTGGAATGGTATTGCTGTGTTGGATCTTTTAAAACAAGTACCTCCGTAAGTTTAACAAAAATTAAAATATCCATAAGTAATGAAAAAACTACAGTTTAACCTCTCCACAACAGTTACCTTTGGGAAAGAGGAGAGTGTGAGTTGTATTATTAAGTTGGCCATTGATAGGCGGTTGGTAGGTGGGAAGGGGGGAGGGGAAGGGAAGGGGAAGGTGAAGGGGGAGAGGAAGGGGGAGGGGGAAGGAGAAGGGGGAGGGGGGGTGGGGAGAGATGGCAGTGAGGGTCCAATATCTTTATTTCCAAAAATTCTCATCATATTATATAATATAAATATGTAATACAATTGATTAGGCACAGGTAAACTTTGGAGAGAAACTAAATTCACAGTTCTAATTAACACAAAATATTGCCAACTTAATACCTTAACACCCAAGATCTGATTGTTAATTCTCCCCTCTAGCTGCTACACATTTATCTGTTGAATAGTTACAAGAATTTAGTTTTAGATCAAGATAACAATTTCTAGTGATTAGTTTGGCTGTTCTCATTACCTTTTTGCTGGATAATCTATAGATTATGTAGGGAGAAGTTGCATGTTAATTACCTCTGGTAGTCAAATGGTTCAACAAGTTGAGGAGTCATTCAGAGGGTTTGAGGCCTAGCACGATGAAGAGAGCTGCTGATAAAAGATGTATTATGAGATTTATGTAACAAATGCATGTTTTTAGTAAACTTTGTTCAGTAAATTGGTAAAAGGTAAATCAATGATTAAAATAAGTCTATCAATTTCTTCCCCTTGTTTTCAGAGCTGGTGGACCATGGCTTGTGACTGACATGGACAGGATAGAATCAATTTTTGTAATTAAACCCTCCCTGCGGGTAAATCTTAGTGATCTTTCATTGGTTAAGTGACACAAGATAACTGGAAAAAAAAATTTTAAAAATGGTCACGTTACAATTATTCGATTAATTCAATTGGACACTCCACTGATCATTGAATGTTTTCCATTTTTGATGCTGTTTTTATTCAAGGACAGGATTTATTTTAAACTCATATTTCTCTAACCACTGACATCATCCACAGAAAATCGTACGTAATATTTTTGATATTGATTTGTAAGGAAGGGGTAGATTACTGAGTTCTACCCTACTTTTTATTTTATTTTATTACAATACTCCAATAGACACTGTGTTTTTCTGATTGAGGAAACCCTTTTTTTCTGTTCAAGAGTGGCGTCGATGTGTAATTTTAATATCACTTGTGATGTTCAGTCTAGGGCAGCATTTTTGCAATGGCAGCATGTAATGAAGTATAAATGTTTTTTTGTTCAACTACTGGTATTTGATTAGAAAAATTTAAATTGTTTGTTGTCATATTAAAATTACACAATTATGAGATATATGTCCAACTGTTACAGAAGGAGGAGAAAAAACACCTACATTATTTATCCAAGGCTTTCTAATGACATAACATTTTTAGTTACCTCTAATCTAAGCTAATATAATATTATGTTGTCATTTTTATTCACAGGAAACAGTTACAAATGGAATTGAGAAAGAGGGCTCCAATCTAAGTGGTGTCAGTGCAAAATGCTGGTGGGAAGAAAGCTTTGTAAATAATTCTACCAGCCAACAAACAAGTTTTTCTTATGGGTCATCGAATGAAACCCAGACTGGGAAGGATCTGAACACACGCTTCCCTGTCCTACCACCAATACGCAGTGGGTCTTCCTTTACATCACACAAGGCCACAGATGGTGTGACGACTGAAAGACGCTCTGCTTGTAGTAGTGTTGTCAGTGAAATTTCCCGCACACGAACTTTGCGAGGTATTCATCTTCGGTTTGGTTTGGAGGCAGCCATGCTCTTACCACTAGCTCTGAGGTATTCTTGAAAAGAGCTGTACACTTTCTCCATATGGTGATGAATTCTCAACTTGTTTCCAGTAGATAAAACTAGTGTTTTATAGTCACTGTATTATTTTTTTAAACTCCTTGTAAAAAAAAAAATTAGATGATGGTGATAATGATGATGATGGGGTTGCTAGATAATAATGATTGTGGTCTGTTTGTTAAACAGGGGTCGGCTTAATCATGGACGACACTTCACATTCCATAGTTCAGTCAATGACATGGCCATCACACTTCTTAGTTCTAATGTAACTGGTTCCATTGCTGATAATGAGCACAGGTTTGCAGCATGTGGAACTTGGCTTCAGGTATGTATGAAAAAGATCAAATGTATGCTAAGTATCGAAGGTCATTCTTCTCCCATCACCTTCCCTCTCACAGGAGTAGATCTGTAAGTCTTGTGACAAAAGGAAGAAAGGGAGAGAAGAAAAAAAATTGACTGTGGGAGCTTGAGTTAACCCTTTACACCCCAACATCAGTATTCATTTTCTCCATACTGTTCTCTGTACATTTACTAAGATGCTGACAGGGAGAATTTGTTTAACAATCAAGAGTTACTTTAGTTGGTGATCATTTCCTTTATTCTCATGACACTAATGTTTGATACAGTAGTGATATGGTAAGGAGAAATTAGACACCAGTCACTCTGAGGGGTTAAAGGATTAAAGAAATGCCTGGGTGGTAACACCTTTTATTCTGACATCAGCATGTTTATTCTCCATGCTGTACCATATACACCTGTACATTCCCCATGAGACTAACATAAAGAATTTGTTTAGCAATTAAGAGCTTCTTTAAATTTGAGATCATTTCCTTTATTATTGCAAACCCGGGTGTTTGATTCAAAAGTGATATTGTGAGGAGAAATTGGATACTGTAGTCAGCCTTTTTACATTTGAGAGCTTGGTTGCTAATTGCAATTTTCTTTCCCAACTGATTTATTACCATTAACATGTCCAGTGTAATCATACAGGCTAGAAAATGAGATCTAGATCATTTCTGTTCAAGTCGTTATTGCTTGTCAGTGTATTCTTCTTCTACTTCGTCCATCAGGTTCTGATAACTGAGGACTTCCTACAAACACTTGACAGAGACCTGGATGTTTTAACAAAGCCCAATGAGGTATCCTTGTGTCAAATATTTAGGGCTGTTTTTTTCAATTATTATTTAATTTAAAAGTGTTGTCTCTAAAGGAGAAATCTTTTATGATGACTTAGGCTGAGTGTCACATTTTTTTCAGCTTGTCCTCCCAAGAGAATATCGCTGGCCAAGATATGGAATGATCATCTCTGTCCTTCCCGATAATAACTAGCTAGGAAGTACTGCCATCATAACACCTTGTAGCAAGTGGTTAACTCTGACAATGTTTAATTATAAACTGGGCTTGGGGTAGCTTCCAGAGGAACCTGTCCTCTCCCTAGGTAGGAGTGGAGAAAACTGATAAACACAGGATTCTCCCCACAAGATGACCTATGCCTTAAAATTGTTGAAACTTAAATGCCAAATATTGTTAATATTTTACTCATGCCTAATTCCAAATATTCTGATGAACAAAAACATTTGTCCTGTTAATGGGAGAGTACCACAAAAACATGCAAAAAAAGACTATAGAGAGCCTTATACCCAGGAACCCTGGCTAGATTTGTTCTGTACTGCTTAATGCACAAGAAAATGAACTCTCTCCCTAAATTTAGCAATTCTTTTTAAAGAGTATAACTTGTAGCATAACAGTAACAAGGAAAGGTGTAAAATGATAAAGAAAAAAGGCATTTCCAACTTTTCAACACAATTTTTCATGGTATTGTCATGTGGGGTTGTTTGAACAATTTTTAAAGTCAGGCATTCATGCAAAGGGAAGATAGAACCATGTAATTTTCTGAAAGCAAATAGGTTAAATTGACATATTTTTACCAGCTTAATGCCAGTAAATAGTTTGTGCAGTTAAGAAAAGATATCTTACCTGAAGGGGCTAATATTGGAGTGATGATTTAAACACCCAAGACCCTACAAGTCTTTAGTAACTGTCCACCTTAAAGGGAGAGCAAAAGAGTGTCCCCTTCATTCTTTTCACCCTCACACTCCTATTTCCCATTGGAATATAGCAGGAAAAGGAAGGGAAATATTTAAGGGGATTAGGGAGAGAAACATCAGTTCTCCGTTGCCTTCCTGCCTCATCCAGGTCCCCACCGATGTTTACTTCCACAATTTTTCAGCCATATAGGTTCATAATTGATTGAACCAGCCAGGCAGTATTTCCCATATCCTTTATTCTAGGGAGTGACTAGCATCCAGGTTTCTTCATCATTATCACTACTGAATCAAGTTTTAAGGTTGTGAAAATACAGGAAATGATCACCCACTCAAGAAGCCCTTTCTTTAAAGGTTCAAAGGTTCCAAGGCGACAAATTATCAATAGAGAACAATGCATTTTAGTGAGAAAGAGCTGAATTTTATTCTAAAATCATTCACAATACAAATCTTTATCTTTAACTACACCTTTTCAGAGTGAAACTTGCAAACACTGTGAGACCGAGTTTGACTTCTGCTCATATATATCTATATATATATATGTATAAACGTACACAGCCCTTTCAAGATCTGTTTCCATGCCATAATATAAATGATTAAGATACCTCATACCAGTGAAATGGCAAGACTGGTAGAAGCTCTTGCTGCCCAGAAGAGGTCACAAAACCCTGCAGAGAAAGTCTGTAGTCCTATCTTACTTAACTGCAACAAGCTCTGTGCCCCTCTAACAACAAGAAATGGCTGAAAACTGAAACTGCAAATTCTTCTTTGAAGAGCAGCCACCCCAAAATTCAAACATTATAACACTGTCTTACTATCATCATAGTTGCCTTTTCATGGCAAACACATGGATATACTTTCCATGTAAAAATAAACATTGGCATAAGATTTGCAGCTCCCTAATGTATCAACAATTTGAATTAATCTACTGGTGCATGGTTAACTTCCTTTTTCGGTTTTATACTCTTAATAAACTACTTCATTCCATACCCTAAAGGCACTGTTAAGAGTTTTAAAATGCATCACATGATCTTCCATAAACACCTCAAACACTATCATCAGCAGTAAAACTACACTGCTTCCAAATTATGTAGAACTGTCCAATGAGGCAGGAAGTGGCATAATAACACTGAAGCCGACATTCCTCTCCTTAACTTTCTCATCTACAGTTTAAACCTATAACAAGGCAATAGAATGAAGGAACTGGCACATCATCATTTAGACAAAATTCCTTCCTTCTATCTTGAGTTTGACTTTCAACTACATTAAAAAGCCACAGCAATACAAGGAACCACTGAATCCAAGTACTCCTTATTCCTTCCAAGGTGGTTTAAAACTTTCAATAATGCTGTAGTCTCCTTAACATATATGAAAACTGGCAAACCAGCTGCAGCCAAGAAATCCATCTACATTAATAAGTCGATTAAGGCATTCCATGGAAGACTCTATATGATTACTGATAACTACCTTTTCATATCTGCAGATAAAAGAATCTGCTGTTGTGATTTCTCCATGCCCATCCTTTTAAGCCACAGTGAGTTCATAATCAGTAGTCTCTTTCTCAGTCAGGTGCAAGAAATGTTTGAAAAACTCGTAAACTGACCAGCAAATAGCACATGATGGCATTTGATAAAGCACTCTAGCTTGAACTCCTTGGAAATAACCAGAGAAGCCACGAAGTCTGTAAATAGAGCGGAAAGCCGTAACCATTCCATTTAAGTAAACATGTCCTTCTTGTTTACTAACTAAGCAAACAGCTTCCCTCTCCTGGGTGTTAAGTAACGTCTTTGCTACATCCAGTGGTGTGGTTATGGCAGCTGCAACAGCTCCCGCAGTTGCCCCTGCTATCACATGAGTCTTTGGGTCATAACCACGCGAAGGGTTTAGTGTCTCTCGCGCATATTCATACACAGTAAAGTGTAAAGTTTGGAAAGGTATATTCATTGAAAGCTGAGTTGTGTAACTGCGATAGAAGGCTCTGAATCCTTCCTCACGAAATACAGTCCTTATGCAATGAAGAACATTATGATATGGACTCCCATACATCTGCATTCTTTGCTTGATCACTGATTTGACACCACAAAAGAAGAGAAATACAGTGTTAGTATCTATGTACTGTATGGCAACACTTAAGATAGTATTGTGTATGTACAAACAAATGCTAAATAATGGAGGGCCAATAGTTAACTGTATGATTATGAGTGTAATCTACCCAGCAGCAGAATGGCTGTCCAGAATCTTCCCGAGCTAAATAATGGTTATCAAAGAGAGTGCCACATCACCAACTGGATGGTGAACTGGCTTCACCTTAAAATAGAATTGGAGACCTGTTGACTGGAGTCGTCACCATTCAAATATAGCTATCTTCTTGAGTAACATTAAATAAAATTATTACAGATTGCTTCAAGCTATTTTCAGTGACTTTATGTTGCATGGGTATTAAAAGGTAGTGAGGGATAAAACTAGTGATGAATTAGAAGAAACACTGTCTAGATACACCTTCTATAGGATTCATGGCACCATCATGAAATACTGTTGCACAAATACCAGCCAGACCTACGAGGAAAATATATTAAAAGCCAGTTAATGTCTGTTGACAGACGATCTTTCTTTAACATAAGATATTTCAAGTTTGCTTGACAATTTTTTTTTTTCCAAAAACAATTCCAATCCACAATCATTTGAGGTAACAAGAATTTCAAAGTTCGAAACAATGAAAAATAAAATAGAAAGAAAAACAAAGAGAGAAATTCTTCTTTTGTAGCCACATTATTTTATCTGTTAAGTTCAAGGCCAAATGATGAGCATGCATTTTGCTATAGAACTGAGAGAGTACATATAATGCAGTAATGACCAAAATTTTCCAATAACCAAGCAGTAACATCTCCCTCTACCAAGCAAATGACAAGAAAAAGGTAAAAATCTACCCAAGAAAAAGAAACAATAAAAGCTACAGATTAGGAAGTTATGCATAAATTTATGAACATGCTTAACTACATGTTAGCAAACCATATCTGGAATGTCTTCTCAGATATCATCTGGTGTTGCTGCAACTTAAGAAAAGGAACAACTGTTCTCCAAAATACCTTACGCTAACTACTAGCCAGCACCTGAATAAGTTATGTGAAGTAAATGTTTCCCTTTTGGACTGCCTCACTTTGAATCCATGAGCAAAATAATCAAGAAAGGGAAATTCTTCAAATATATTAGACAAGCTGGATCAAAAATATTTTTGTTGCCAAATTATGTGAAAGTGGTCTTTCAAGCTCTCCATATCTCCAACAAAAAAATGAAAATACTGCCTTTGTTTTCTTTTAAAAAGCTGAAAATATACCAAATAACTAATCACAACCATCAAAAAATAGACAAGGGGATTAACTTTTTAAGAATCAACTTGCAGAATATACAATTTTCTTCCAGTAATACAGAGGAAACATTGTTATCTCTTGCCTTCTCTTCACTTTCACTAGGTTTAAATTTTCTTCAGCTCTGATAGGTGTATCATTAACATTCTCAAATGCCTACAAAGATACCTACCATGTGAAAAGGGATTGTAAGTGTCTTGGTTCCCATTCAGAAACTTCTTAGTGGCCTCGTAAGTGCTGAAATACAGAGCATGTGCAGGGCCAGCTCCTATTGCCACCACATTCATTCCCCTGAGTGGGGTAAAAAGTCCTTCCCTTTTAACCATAGTTGTAAGAGCATCCCCAATGTTTCTATAAATAGCATTTGGATGTGGACGCAAACTCTGCATCCTTGTCTGTAATTAAAAAGGAGGCATATCAGTTTTTTCCACTGCTAAATTTTGAGTACTTGACCATATAAAGCCATCCATATGAATTAGTTTCATTCCTCTTAAAAAAAAATTAAAAAAAAAAAAAAAGAGCAAAACCTAAGTGAAAAATATGATTTTACATAATCCAGACTCAAAACAGCACAAACACTACTTTAACTTTTTGCAGTTTTCTACAACTCTTACCTGATGGTCAAAACTTCCCACTGATGCAAATTTCAAACTTTTTTTTTTCATCCAACTTCCAAAATAAACAAGAAGTTTGAATACAAGGTACTTGTTCAGACTGTTTTGTTGATATTTTTTTCAGTTTTTATTTCTTGGCACCCTCACAAGTGACAATAATTGCAATACAGTTTATGTTCCCCAACATAAATATATTTTGAGCTCTTGTCAGAGTAGTTACAACCCTTGCCTATCAGTTCCAACAAAAAAGAATGTGAGTCCCACCCAAAACACACTTAAATGCATCGGAACATAGACTCTACTATTTTGTTATCGTGATTAATTTGTTAGCACATGCAGTTATCTGCAATACAAATAGACATGCTTCTGTATAAACTGGATTGTTTAAAGGTGTGCTATATCAAAACAGAAGTGTAATGCTCTTTTAATTCCCACTTCTTTGAATGCGTGTTAAGTCCAATATTGCAGTATCAATGCTATCCTTACAGAGCAAACATTTCCCCTGCAATCTGGCCAGCAACGACAGACATTTCCCGAAGCTGGCTAACTTGTTTATTGAGGGAAATTTCAACCCCAGAAGATGTAAATAAAAAGTTTTACAAATTCGACCTATAAGAACAACTTTTTGAGCTGACGACGATCTAAACGACGTAATCGATAATTGCAAAGCCTTTAATTATCTGCGGGAGTATTTCTGGTTAAAACTTAAACTAATGACCCAATATCATCCACAGTGACGGTGTCAAAAAATGAAAGTTCTAGATTTCTTGCCGAACATTAAAAGTGAACTATGTGTTATAGGCTATGCCTACGATTTACAGATGTAAAACTAAAATTGGCGAAAACATTCCACCCACCCAATGTGACCTAATGTTGAATTTCACGAGGCCACGAGTACTGATCGAGACCAACCTACATGTTTTAAGATAGACAGCCGATACGTTTCCCGCGCTCATTGAAGAGAAAACCCATGTTTTACCCATGTGAATTGTTCGATTTGATTACGTTTGATTTTTAGAATTCTCAACTCGTAGATCGATCGTACCTTCACGCAGTCCACGGGGTACATTACACAATGTTCCATAACTCCTGCCATAGCGCCCGCGGCAAGATGTACCGTCACCTTTTCCGTTGGTAGGCTTTCATACTCTGAATCATCCATAACGCAAGGAAAACTAATGGACTCCAGCCTTAAAGTTGCAGTAAATCCCTAAAAATTCGTTGTTTGTCCGCGAGTTTCTTACTATCTTGTACTCAGTTAAATTCCACCCGCCATATTGCACAGACTTAGTTAGCTCACGTGTCACGTGACGTGTATCATCCACTGAAAAAAAGAGAATCTGTAAAAATAGCCAATCAGATTGCTCAATATACCGAGACAAAGGGAACGTGACGAAGAGTTTTTGGATGGAAGCCACACGAGCGGCGGAAGTTTTAGTTAAAAACAATTGTGGAAGCTAGTTGAAAAGTTACCGAAACACAATTGCTTCTTTCCTCCAACTAAAAATACACGATAACTTTGTGGCCTAGTAAGTTTCATTTTATCGTCTCAAAAATATTTGTTAGCGACACTTTTTTAGCATGATCAATATCTGCTGTTCATGACGTAATGATTACGTAATCGTACAAATGTACATTTTCACAATATTTAAGGATTTTAAAAGTAGTGATAATTCTTCCCCTAAAAATGGTAAGTACAGATTATGGGAAAAAAATTTCTTATTCTCAAGATACGGTGGACTTATTGGTGAGCGATCACACAGAATGCATTCTCGATAATATCATGGAAATTGAAATGCGGAACTTCGATTAACGGTGCGTAACTAGCAAACAACATCACTAAACTTTCGTGGTAGAAATGTAGCTAGAATTCCTATCTACTACAAGAGAAACGAAGGACGTAATTTTCCGTATTTCATAAGATCGCTTGTAAGTATCTATTTGGAATCATACATTTAGAGAAGATGACTCCCAATAGACTTGAAATTATAAGAGTGTTATTAATACCTGAGGACAAAATATACAAATTAAAAGGTTTGCGTAAGAAGTAAGGTGACTGAATAATTCTTCTGTCTTGCCTTAAAAAGTAAGAAGGAAAAACGCGATTTTTGCGGAATTGGGTCACAGACCGCGGTTTTGCCGCAAGAAACTGGAAATTATAGCAACTATGACCAAGCCTTAGCTTCGAGTAAACAGGAAAACAAACAAACCAATTCCATCAAGAGACGAACACAATTGACGTTACTTCAAAAATAATTAGCGAGTCTCAAAGTCCACTTGTTGCCACAAATTACGTAAATGGTCTTCCTGAATAAATTTCACACACGCATAAATATAACATCTTTAGAAACGGCTGAGCGCTGGAGTATTTTGCTTCCTCGATCTGTAAATCCTTTGAGACACTGCTTGATGACGAAGCCTCCAGTTGAATGGGACAACAGAACTGTTCCGAAGGTCGACTTCTGTGAAAAGCAATATTTCTTTTTACAGAAGAGAGGTTTTTTGTCTCATGACCGGAGAACCAAGGTGTGTAATTTACGACATTGCGGAGGGGGGAAATTGTTGTTTGGCATCTTGAAAACATCAAAAAACCTCTGGAAGTAAAGTATGTACATTAAGAAACGAAGTCAATAGAAACAATTGCTGACCTTTCAAGTGATTTATTTACGAAACTTAAATCGTGATCTGTAAAATTCGACAAATGGTTGAATCAAAACCAAACATCAGATCGTGTTCACAAACAGCACGAAAGGCTGGTTAGAAAACCGAACACAAAAAAATGGCAATCGGTGAAAGATACGCGAAAAGTCACTTGATTAAAATTAAGAATGCGCATGGTTGGTTGTTGAAACTGCATCTTCACTCTGACCGGTTGGATGGAACGAATTGGAATTTGCACTAAGTTATCCACTGATGATTTCAAGTGTCCTCGGAATCTTCTGTTTCTTTTTCGGGTTTCACATCCGTTTCATTTCCTTCCATTACTTCTTTAAGATAACTAGCGACTTCCTGTAACGGAGATGAACGAAATAAAATCAGTGAAATCAGATTTTATATGAGCCGAGATGTAGTTATCTCTCGAGACGGTTTACAGTCAAGTCGCCCGAGAGTCATCTCGCCCGAAACCTGAGTCATGATGCCCGAAATTTAGTTATGTCACCCGAAAAAAAAAAAGTGAAGTCGCCCGAAGAAACAAATACTAAAAAGATCTGAATTTCAGACTGTTAATAGGCAATAACGTAGGAAATTTTTATCACTAAAGCACTCGTTGTTTCCGACAACACTATGAAGATTCTTAAAGCGTTGTTCGTTTCTAACAACAAAGGGAAGCGTTCTCCGTTTCTAACAAAAAAAGGGAAGTGTTGTTCGTTTGGTATGTACTCGTTTCTTACTCATGGACATTTCTTGAAAGCTTGAAAAACTTTTTCTTGGCTTCTAACAAAGCCATGAAGACTTTGACACAAATCGATCATATGGTCAGAAAGGCCATGTGATCAACCGTAATCGTCGCACTGTAGGGCTTGTTGACGTGGTCTAACTTCATCATCACACTCAATGCAAGGGTGAATGCTCATTTTGATCAGTTCGTATTCGTATCGTAGCTAGCATTACCTTCTTCATATATACTTTGATCGGATCAAAATATACATGCGACCACCAGAGTACAACTACATAATTTATGCCTATTCTGCCGACGCAATGCTATCAGACTACTACTGTGAAAAAAGTCACAAGCATAAACAATAGACTGTTACCTTAAAAATATCACACTTACCTTATGCAAGGCAACAAGTTAATTTTTAATGTTACGAAGTTCACAAAAAACACAATTTTATTTGTATGTTACTCGCTTTACCTTTTACCGACTTGTCGAACGCGACAATCGACATTCGTTCACCAGGTGTTTTCATCTTTTATTGTTAAGAAAGTCACAAATAGACACAACAGAACTTTACTTGTATGTTACGCTGCATCCGTGCATTTGTTGTTATAGAAACGAACAACGCTTCTCTCTGTTGTTAGAAACAAACAACGCTTTTAGAGCCGTTACTCAAACATATTTCAGTTCTGCATGACCATATAATCGATTTCTGTGTAGTCAAAGTCTTCGTGGCACTTTTAGAAACGAGAAAGAGTTTCTCAAGCTTACGAAATGTCCGTGAGTAAGAAACGAGCCCATACCAAACGAACAACGCTTCATTTCTTTGTTAGAAACGGAGAACGCTTCCCTTTAAGAATCTTCATGGTGTTGTCTGAAACAAAGAGCGCTTTAGTGATAGAAAATTTCTCAACGTTATTGCCTATTTACAGTTTGAAATTCTGATCTTTTTAGTATTTGTTTCTTCGGGCGACTTGACTTTTTTTTCGGGCGACATTACTAAAACTAAACTTTCGGGCATGACTCCGGGCGAGATGACTCTCGGGCGACTTGACCGGTTATCCTCGAGACATGTAATCATTTTTGTTATTTAAAAAACGTCTTGTAACTTGACAGAAACTACAAAATATTACCTCGGCAAAAAAGAAAAACACGAAACAGGCACTAATAAACCAGAGGGAAAAAGATAGTTTGGTTTTATCAACAGTAAAGAGTTTCTAAAGCTGACGTTTTTAGCGTTAGCCCTTCGTCAGAGCAAGAAGGAACAAAAATGTCTGAACCACTGTAATTGTATGAGCCTACATTCCACCATAAAGTCATACCTTTCTGCCAAACGTCTCAGAAAAATCAACAGCTCTATGTCCATACTAAAAAGAAAGTAAAAAAAGGTGAAGCAAGGAATTTAAAAAAATAATAATACTGAAAGAAAATAGAGCAATACGGAAATCCATGACAGATGCCATGTTTTGACCAAAGCAAGTTGATATCTACACAGTAAATAAAGAGAAAAAAATATTTTTACTTCCTCGCTCTTGCACAATCTCTCCTAACTACACAATCTTAATACTAAAGGTACTTACAAACCTCATTTTCAGCATAAACATCTGCCCCTTTTACCACCAGTAGCTTAATCAAATCAACGTTACCACCCACTGCAGCAGCCTGAAAAAACGTAAAAAATGTTAAATCATTCAAAATTAATGTTTCAAAGTAGTTCGTAATAAAATGGAAAATCTACACTGAGCTGAGAAATATAACATTACCATCAAAGCAGATTTCTTTATCTTGTCCTTTTTGTTCACATCTGCCCCATTTTCAATCAAAATCTTGGCCACCTCAACATTTCCATTCAAAGAGGCTGCAACATAAATTCGGGTATTACAAAAGGTTAAATTTTAAGGGATCTTCAGCTAACATCGTCATATTCTGTGTGATTCTGAATTTTGGAGTGGATTGATTGGATGAGTGAAGTAATGAGTCTAACATTGACACCGCATCGCACCGGTATCGCGGAGGTCACGGGTTCGAATCCCGTTGAAGCCCTGATTTTTTTTTTTTTTTTTTCAGGCTTCTTCTTTCCAATTGCTTAAATTGGAAAATTTACTGCGATGATCACATTTCACTTTCATTGACATCTATGCATATTAAAAGTGACTCAACTCTTTTTCTGCTGATTGAAGACTTTTTAACAATGAGATTATAGCAAATCAAAATTGGAAATATCAGAAAATATAAACTGTGAATTATTTACCACTGCATACCAAGTCTTATTAAAGGTGAACAACCAAAATCATCTTCGATATCAACCTGTTGAAAAAATTACAACATTTAAATTACCCTGCAATGCTTCCATTGGTAAATTAGAGCTGGTAAGTTTATGTATTAATTATAATTGGTTGTGGAGCTGTATCAGAGAGAAGGATGGAGGAAGTGCTGTTTGCAGGTGAGGTAGACCTTCCAACGGTGGAAAAATTGTCATTGTTGGACAAACAACACTGCAATTTTACAGGGCCTTATTTCCAACATGCAGAACAAGTATAGCTTAGATAGAAAATAAGAGAGATGGTAGGTTTTGAACTCAGTAAAGAAATAGAGATAGAAATAGAAAAAAGATTTTTTTTTTGTCTTGTCACAAGTGTGGGACAAAGAAAAAATTCTGAGTCCCCATGAGGAATCGAACCTCAGACCTTTGGATTCTGCACTCCAATGCTCTACCACTGAGCCGCAGACTCCACTGTGAGCAAGATCTATTGCCAAGTTCATATGATACATGTCCTGCATACTGCTAGGATCAGCAATGTCAATAGTGTAATGTTTGTAGATCAAAAATAAGAGAGATGGTAGGTATAGCTTTATTGCCTTTTTCAGCCAAGGTGCGAGGTGAGTGAATAAGGGGAGTCATACTGTGGAGAAGTGGGTCAGTAAGAAGTTATAAAAGTAGAAACAATGTGATCTTTCAGCTCCTCCTCTCTTATATGACTCACCCTTGGCACTCACCTTACACTTGTCTCCAAACAAAAAAAAAAAAAGCATCCCCTTATCTGCAAGCAAAACTAGAACTGGACAGGATGCACATCTTTTACTGGACAGTAATGAAACAATGAAAAATCTGACATCAAACAAACACAACTTGGCATTGAAATAAAATGACTATTTGATACAAGAATGGTCATACATCAATTCCATTGTCCAACAGCCATTGTATGCAGGCTGTGTTACCACCATCCACTGCCCAATGAAGACAACAAGAGCCACCATTGTCTTTGCTATCTATAAACGCTCCTTTTTCAAACAGCATAACTGCTACTTTGATGTGACCACCAGCACAGGCCAACATCATACTAAAATATTTTTAAGAAAAAGCATTAAATATAAATTAATTTTTATATAGATTGTAGCTTTAAAACATACTTTATAAAGCATATATCATATATAGTTTATATATCAAGCTGTTTCATTAATGAATTAGATCTGGCTCTAACTGTTAAATTAATCATTAAATCACCTAGTTTTTCCACTTGTGTTGGAGTAGTTGACATCAGCTTTGTGTGCAATTAAAGTTGAAATAATGCTGAATAAAAGAAAAGTTACCAATAAATTATAAAAATTAATGTTATTTCTAAGAACAGTTATTTAGGAAGAGGAATGAATGAACTCTCTTGGAAAATATCGCAGTTTAAGGAAGTACTTTTATCAAAACCTTTCACAGAAAATGGGAGACACTGTAGCATAGAAGTTAGTGTGCTGGACTCTGGACCAAGAGGTCTGGGTCTGAGGCCTGGCCATTGCAATATGTTGTGTTCTCAGGCAAAACACTGCACACTCACGGTGCATCTCTCCACCCAGGAGTATAAATTGATACTGACCAATTGTCAGGGAAGGCTGATGAAAGGCTGGGGGTAACTTGCATCCTACCCAGAAGAAAGTAGTAATACTCCTAGTGGCTTCATGCTCAAAAGACCGAGATAATCTCCAGCTGGGTGAGCCAGTAGGCTCAAGTACATTACTTTTCAAAGAAAATGCTTTGGCTCCCAGGCAAACATTTCTTCAATAACTCATTATAGTATCTGATTACCTGCGAATGAACACAAACCTTGTGTAACCCTTTTGAGCAGCAATCATCAGAGGAGACATTCCAAATGCATTAGGACAATCAACTATGGTTTCAGTACTAGTAAAATACAAGAGTAAAAAGAGCAAACTTAAATTTACTGCACTTGATGTCACAAAATTTTTCAATTTTTCAAATGCCATGATCATGAGCCACTTTGAAAGTTAATATGAGAGTCCACCAACCTTTCTTCAAGAATTGATGTCACTTTCTCAACTTCCCAGTTAAGGACTGCATTGTGAAGGTCACGGCCAGAAAGTGGGATTTCTTTGCAAAACAAAAAAAGAGTTTATTACTTGTCACTCCAGTGTATAATTTTCCTTTTTTGCAGTACAGATGACAATTTATCAACAAGTCTTTCATTATCAGCTACTTTAACTATTAAAATCAAAACTCCCTTATTTAAAGGAATATCAGTGGTTAAAGAAGATTATTAGTTATCCAGTAAGTTGTCAACAAAAGTTTAACTCTCTGAGTTGAAGATTACATCTTCAAAATGTTTTGAACACCTTGTAATTGCTGCCTGTAGTACCTCTTATTACCATCTAAAATTGCTTAGAATTCTTGAAAATTCAACAGGTAAAAGGATTGCTTTATCGGTTTAAAAATTTATTTTACCTGTCATGCTTAAAATAAGGGAAAACACTGCATAAAGAAAATGAATATTATCTTCTGTTTAAGATCAAAAGTCACAGATAATGCCCTTAACACTGACAAAAGTGAGAGCAATAAGACATATTACTTACTTGTAGTAGTAACAGATATAACCTGACTCCAAGGGCTGTTCCCATTATTATTACTTATTCGAAGACAATAGCGATAAGTCTTGCTTGGCTCCAGGCCTTTGAACTCATTGCTTTTAGCAAAGCCACTGAGGGACAATAAAAATTTTCATTGAAATGATAAGAATTCTATTACTAACATAACAAATCTACACTACCAGTAAATATCATATGAAACTAATTCAATACAACCCACGCACTGGTTACAGTCAAAGTTGCTTGAGGCATGAGGCAATGAGACAATCATCAAATCATAAACCAATTTAAGATATAGAGTGCTCTTCAATTAGGTGCCTTAACATTAAAACCAAAATAATCACCATGGCCATTCAGAAGAAGGGAAAATACTTTTAAGAGCCAGTTAGAACTCAAACTAAAGCCAATCAAACAAGCAGTTATTAGTTTTCATTTTGCATCTAATTGTTTGAGGAGTGGCGCAAGTTTCCTGAATCAATGACAAGGCAAAGTTTAAAAAAGGCAAAGCAATTGCAGCTTACTTCTGAAACTCAATTGAAAAATTCTCTATAAACCATCATAAAAAATTAAATTGCTCCATACTTGTAGACATTTCCAAATCCTTTTCGTCCCTCCTCTTCTTCTTCCTGTACACAGTAACGTAGCCTCCCTCCTGAGCTGTCTTCAGTACCTGCTATCTGATCCCAGTACAACTCAATGCTGTTGAATGTAACTTTTCCAACTACAGGAGGTGCTGGCTTCTCAGGAGCTGCGTATGGAAAGAAAGGAAAAAAAGGAACTATTAGTCAGTTCCTGTTTACACCAACAAACTGATTGAAAATAACGAACAAAATCAACTTATAATCTCACTTTAAATTATATGATTAAAAAGTATGCCCTGATTCAATTGAAATTTTCAAAACAATTTCCATTTTATTTTCTGCAGTTTCAGGCTATCATTATGAATACAAGATAAAGATTGAACATACTGAAACAGAAAAACAACCACTTGCTTGAGAAATATCAAACTAAGAAAAAACTAGAGACACAAAAGTCTACAAATACTGTAAATACTACTATATTCCTTATCTAGTGGGATCATTATTAAACTTTTTAAGGGATATTAAAATAACCTTCGTCATTTCTTCTTAGGGTGAGACTAGTTGACCATTGAAACCTGGCCAATGTGGGGAGGTTTTCACATGAAATAAAAAATGTTGGCAGCTGTGGAGAGGTTTACATGTATTGAGTGAGCTTTTACTTTGTGGCTTAGAGGAAGAGCATCTACAAGACTGAAGGGCTTTGAATTTCAATTCCTTGTATGGAACTCTGATTTTTTGTTTCCACGTCATGATAGATAAATTCATCAAGTCTTACCTGACATTGTTATGAGACCACATCAGCTGAACTTTCCAAGGACTGCTTCGTAATTTGTGAACGAAAAGCAGCAATAAAATTCATGTCTGTTATAACCTCTGTTCTAAAATGACTAACAAAATTTTCTTAGGACGTACAAAACGAACACCAAAAGTATTTTGCTGTTGACAACCTTTAGTACACGATCACTCTTTAAAATATTTTCAGTGATTTTAATCAGATGGTACCAGGTGCTAATTAATGGCTTTCAACGCCTGAAAAAAAATAAACGCTGAAAGGAATTTGAACAAAGTACAATGGTTACTTTGCTCTTAACCCGCTAATTGCAAGTACTTAATTACCATTGAGGTATGAACTCCCCAAGGATTACTAAGAGGCCAATTGAGAAGTATTTCACGAAATCGTTATGTCATACAACAAAATAATATGGAGTTACACATAAAGAGAGGATCGGTGAAGGAATAGTTCAAAAATAGTTGACTTAACTGCCCTTCGCCATAATCAAAGGTTATCCTGAAAAATTCTAAGCTAACCCATACAAGGCGATGATTTGAGCTTACCATGTCAATCGCAGGTTTGCAGGATTACCAGAAGCGACAAAAGACCTTCTGTCCTTTTATAGGGCAATAATATGGTGATATTTTTTGCATAAACTACTGGCATTGTAGAGTATTGAGAAGTGACCCCTCCAGCAGCCAGATGTTGACGCTTCTCACATTTAGTCCCAGGGCTTTAGAAATTGGCGCCATCGCTAATAGTAAAAAGCAATCTCTTCTAGGGTATAGAGAGATGATGGTCTAACTTTAATGACCATTGCCACGCTGCTTCTCTGCCTTTATTTGTTTTTAAAACTAGATAAATTTTTTCTTGAAATATTTTTTAAATCGTTCTTTATACTACATTCAGAAAATAAATAAATGATAGCATTTGTGCTGACCCTCTCATCCCTCCCTAAAGATAATTATGATTTTCGCTTTTTACAAACCAGCGGTCTGAGGAGTAAACAGCTGATGTGTTCTGTATGAACATATATAATGTACTGCAAATACGAAACAAGGACTACAATGGCGGAAATAAGGGGTGCCTTTGGGGTATAATTAAGGATTACTGGGTCTAGGTCTAACTTTTTCTACAAAACCCAGTCATTGTGCAAGTTTGGATTCCGATATAACTGATTGAGATTTTAACTACCATGAAGCTGTCGCCTCGAGTTTTGCCTGGTGCTCTTCATAGTCATAACAGAGGAGCTTGTGATTGGTAAGTCTGCTGGCCTGATTTCTTCCTCCATTGAACAATTTGAACACATTGAGCCCATTATTCAAAATCAATCGCACACAGTGACGTTCCTCGTAACTTTTGTATAAAGAAACTCTCGAAGCTCGAGCATTGGTATGTGAATCTGTGATGTCGAAAAAGATGGGCGAGGGACCAATTTCTTTATTATAATTGTTTCCTCTTAACAGTGTTTGCTTCCTATCCCATTAGATTCATATAACAATCTTGTGTTGTCTATGACAGTATGATGAAAAAAGTAAACTGCGAGCAATTAAAGATAGACCCCTTTCCAATATCTCGACTGAAATTTCCCCTATTAACTTTGCATATTATTTTGTTGGCTAGTTCTGATAATGCGTCATTTCATCAAATACATTTGAAGAATTTGTTGTTTTTTGTTTGGTTTATAAAGGGGACGACAGTCACTGATTGCCTATGGTTGTCAAAACTTTGTAGTTGTCTTTGATCCCAAATCAGTTCAGGTGAGGATAATCAGTTTATCTTCTAATCGTTTTATTTCAGATCTGTGGCTTGAAAACTAATTTCTGTATTTAAATTGTCTAATATTCTCGTTACTTTTTTTCTTTCTTGACAGGTTATTCAAGTGCTAACCTTGCACACTGCCCCTTGCACAAAGGTAGGTAAATTTAGATCTTTAGGACTATCTAATTCTCCTGATTCATGTTTTATTGTTTATTAAAATTGTTTTATTTATAAAGATGTTTTTAACTTTCCCACATTCATTCTTAGGTGAAATGGGCACGTGATAATTACCATCATGACAGTAATTCTCCATATATACTTCGTCTTGCATCTGGAGATACATCTGGTAACGTCATTGTCTGGGACATTTCTCAAGGGACTGCAGTGACTGAGTTCTCAGAAGGAAACAGGCCAATTCTTGATCTAGAATGGCTTGCAACTCAAGATGCCTGTCATGATCTTTTAGCAGTTCTCCATGCTCCATCATCAATGATCCTTTGGAATGCTGATACTGGCACAAAATTGTGGAAAAAGACTTTTCAAGAAGCTCTGCTCTGCTTTGCTTTTGATCCTTTTATACCTTCAAATGTAACCTGTAAGTTGAAATTTTATCTTTAAAAAGTGCGTACTACATTGAAAATACGGGTCAGACTTTACAAATGGTATCTTAACCCACTAATAAGGCTATGTCACAATTTATTACAACATCTGAGCCCAGTGAATTGCTCTTTTGCTCTCCTTGAAAGAATCCATAGGTAGAAGCAGGAGGAAAGTGAAAAAAAAGCAATCAAGAATTACTAGTGGGAGAATTCTGGAAAGCAGCCAGAAAATATTTTTGAGTGATCACTGATATCTAGCAAACACTTTGAATCAGTTAAACTGTAATTAGTTCAATCTATAAAAATAAAAAAAGCAGTATTTCTGAGTTTATGAAACACATTTGTTGGACATCTTCAGGAGGATTTTTTTCCTAAAACTCATCCAAGAAAAAGGTACTAAGTTGCATTCCTTTGCCTTAACCTTGTTAAGTGATGTGTCAGGACTGGATTCTCTTCATCAATGACTTTTCCATCGGCAAAGCCCCAGAAAGCAATGGGCGTAAGTTTTACCTTACAAGCTCTGGCTCTGCATCACCTAGTGGCGGTTTTGTTGGCTCACCAACTGCTGGCCCAGACAGCAAGAATGCAACCAAACAATCCACACCCAAGTCTGCTCTCTCTAGGATGAGGCTATGGGGAGGAGGTGAATCAAAAAACAGGTAGAATTTATATGTTTTGTCTTTTTTATCCATGGGAGTGTTTCACCAAACATGTCAAGTTGTATTTAACCAAAGGGGCCCTCAGGTATCTTTCCTAGTGGGAAAGAAAGTTTACAGTTCCTAAACCCTCCCCCCCTACTCTTTCTCTTCCCAGCATGATTGCTAGACTCCAAAAGTATTTTTTTTCCAATTTGCGTTTTTCATATTTACAAAAACTCTGTTAGAGATTGTAAGAGTGAAATTTCATGTCCTGTATCAGTTATGGTTTCAGCCTTTAAGTAAATCAATTAATACGTAGTATATTTGTGAACAAGAGAATAATTGAAACAGGAACTAATTTCTAGGGATAATACATTTGGTAAAAATGTCTTTTGGATTATAAAAACTCTGTTTCCTATCGTTTTCCTGTTTTAGAGCTGGAGAAGAAAGTGTGGTTTTGAGTGACTGTCTTCAGCTTGCATACCTTCCATCTGCTCATCATCATCTTTTAGCATTGTTTCCAAGGGAAGTAATGATTTTAGACATGGAAATCAACCAGGCAGTTTGCTCATTCAGTCTGGAGAGAAACAGCCCTTCTTTTCTTCAGGTCATCCCTTGTCAACAACGTGATGTTCTAATGTGTTTACATGAGAATGGCAGTGTGATCATGCGAGTGCGTAGAAGAGTAGAGAACAATCCTTACTTCACTGAAACTGATGAAAGGAGTAATGATGTAAATTCATCTGTGGATATAATCTATGAGAACAAATGCCAGTCAGATCCACTGCGTCTCAGCAAATCAAGCCGACTCTTTGGCTTCATGTGCTGTCCATCAAGTGAACGGAAAGTTGCCCTTTTGATTAGTGATGGAAGAATGATTATTTGGGAATTAAAGGCTAAAAGGCTTCAAGGAGAAGCATCAGTCTTGTCACAGGAAGCTTTGAAAGCTTCACTACCATGCAACACAGACTCTGAACGCCTGCGGTATCATGTCAATCCTAATTTGACACTTTCTGATGTGATTCCTCCACCTCTTACCTCTGGAAATGTCATTCAAAATTCTGTTCATTACAAGTTTGTCATGGTAACCCTTTCCAGCTCAGTATCATCTCCTCCAACTTGTGCTGTCATGTGTCCGCCCTTGACTACTAAGAATTGGGGGAGTTACAAGCCTTTGTTAGCAGTTGGTAAGAGACTTCATTACATGTCATATTGTAGAGTTTTGCTACAACTTTGTTTGGTTAATATATAGAACATACTCAATATAACAATTTCTAAAAAGATTACTAATTGTCTTTTTGTACAGGAAACACCCAAGGTTGTATTCAAGTTTTCAATCTGGGTACTGGCTTACTTGCAAGAGAATATACGATTCACACTGGAGCAGTGAAGTAAGACAATTTACCTACTTCGAGAAAAATTCAGTTTGAAAAATACACCGAAAAAGCTAACTGTTGTGATATTTTTTTTAGGAGTGTTAAGTGATGTCTTAGTTTTAAACAAGTCTACTGCTGCAGTTCCTAGGAAATTACACAAGCTCAATGGGAATTACTGATTAACCCTCTGACTCTCCAGACTGGATGCTATCTAATTCTCCCAACAGTATCACTGCTGAATCAAACACAAAAGTTGTGCGAATTTAGGAAGTGGTCACCACCCTAAGAAACTCTTTATTATAAAACAAATTCTTCTTGTCAACACCTTAGGAAATTTATAGAGAACAATGTGGAGAGTAATATGCATTCTAATGTGAGGGTGTAAAGGATTAATGTATAGGGAATTTTTTATTAAAATAATAAAAGATATTTGTTGTTTCCATTACAGAGGCATTACATGGAGTAGTTTGGAGAGCTTTTTCTCCTGGGCCCAGGCCTCAGGGAGCACATCCAAAAATGAGCTTCAACTGGTCAGCATAAAAACTGGTAGGATGTCAATATATTTGAGTGTTCTAGGAATGTGCTTCTGAATTGTATTTTGCTTGACCAAGATTTTTATTTCCACATACCAATTATAATTATATTGTTGTTTATTGTTGAAAAAAATAACAGGTCAAACAACACCTATTGAACTTGGTAAAGCAGCAGAGGAATCAACTGTTGA